AAATTACAACACAAAGGTTCCCATGACATTGGGTTTCAATGTCATGGGATGACCCGGGGTGCTCCGGTGCCCCGTTCGTAAAATTGACGGTTCCTACCCCCGGTAAATCCCCCACCTCGGCCCCGACCCGAACACGCCCCCCTACCCCCGTCAATTGCACCCCACAAGTTGATTTTGACTTTGGAGTCAAAGACTCCAAAGTCAAAATCAACTTGTGGGGTGCAATTGACGGGGGTAGGGGGGCGTGTTCGGGTCGGGGCCGAGGTGGGGAGTTTACCGGGGGGTTAGGGGGGGTAGGAACCGTCAATTTTACGAACGGGACACCGGAGCACCCCGGGTCATCTCATGACATTGAAACCCAATGTCATGGGAACCCCACCCAAATTACAATGTTCAAAATGAATATGTTACGTTGTTTTAGAATAAACACGAGAAGGTATATGGTACATCTGGATGTACGTAGAAATAGGTACATCCGGATAGTACTCATTGTGAAGTAAAGTAGTATTCATTCTTACACAAACATAATTATTCATTTTGAAAATGTGGTACTCATTCTAAAATAACGTAGTACTCATTCTAAAATAATGTAGTGCTCATATTCACACATTTATTCAATACAGTTATAATATTTATTCACAAATAACGTAGTGTTCATTCTAAATAAAAATAGTACTCATTCTCAAATAACTTAATGTTCATTCTAAAATAAAATAAAACACATATCATGAATAACCTTTTTCTCACTAGGGTTTCATCCCAGCATCTCCTCCATCTACAGCACCGCGGCTTTCTTTCGCGACCCGACCCGCTTTAACGCCGCCGCCACCTTCCTTCTCCATCGTTTTCTCCAGATTTTCGCCACCATCCCTGGTTGTCATCTTCGCTACTCCATCGTCTTTCGTCTTCGCTGCTCCTCGTCATCACTGTCGCCACCTTCCGTCTTTCTTCTCCGGTGGCCCGACACGATCGACAAATAGAGGAGACGCAGTAATTTCGGCAGCTTCCGTTCCATCTCATTTCTTCTTCAATTAGCCGGTTGTACCTAAAATTAGGTACAACCGGATGTACAATATCATTTGCGAATAAACACTGCGTTGTTTTATAATGAATATTATGTTGAGTACGCTTGGAATGACCACTACGATTGAAAATGAATATTCTATTTATTAAAAAGAACAATTTTGATTGTAAAGAGTCAAAACTAGATAAATACTCCGTACTTTCAGACGTGGGTAGTATTAATTATACGTGTTGAAATCAGAACAGATAAGACCAAATCAGATTACATCAGATCAAAAGCAAATTAAAATTCAAATTTAACTAAAATCAAATCAATTCAGATCAGACATGAATACAAAAAGATCAGATCAACATAATCAGATCAGACGAAGAGAATAAACTCTTAGTTTATCACCAAATCTCATAAAGATGAGATCTGTTGGACCAGATGAAATCTTTGGAAAAACCAATATTTATAGGTTGTTACCCACTTTATTACAAGGGAGAGGTTCGGTTGACATTAGTCTCACATGTCATCTTGACATGGGCCTTGATTAGAGCACCTATGGTGCTCCGTTTGAAAAATTGATTATTCCTAACCCCTGCCTCTTCTCCAGGTAAATCCTCTATCCCGGCCTGACCTGAACCAACTCTCTCACCTCCTCGAATTGCACCCCACAAAATTTATCGACTCAAATTTTGACTCTAAAGTCAACTAAAATTTATGGGGTGCACTTGGAGCGAGTGGGGGTCGCTTTGGGTTTGGCCGAAGTAAGAAGGTTTATCGGAGGTTAGGGTGTAATAGACCTGTGCAAACAAGGGTCGGCCTGTCCAGCCCGCCCTTTAAAATGGATGGATATGGACAATCTTTAATACCCACATGGGCGGGCTGGCCCAAGCCCGAATTGTATTTGGGCGGATCTGGAAGTTACTTTTAGCCCATCCGGGCCAACAGGCCCGCCCATATTCATTAAATACATTTACTTTATTATTAATTACCTAGACAATATAAATTTTAAAATTTTCTTTAATTCATGTATAATAGTTCATATCACTCACCCCTCTTAAACAAAAATCAATAGTCTTTTAATGAATCTATATGATGAGTTTATTAATTATGTAACAATATTTCTATTATGTTTTCTATATAAATGTGACGAGTGGTAATTTTATTTTAAACATTTGAAAACGAGTTCACTATTTTCTTTTTGATTTTTTTCTGTAAAAAAGATTTTCTTGATGTTTTATCCGGGCCGGGCGGCCCGGTGGGCAGTTCGGCCCGCTAAGGTGGGCGAGTATGGGTAAAGAGTTTAGCCCATCAAATCCGGGCCGGGCCAAGCCCGCCCATGCAAATGGGCTAATAATTTGTATCGAGCCTGGCCCAGATCCGGCCCGGATCCTTATTTGCACAGGTCTAGGGTGTAAGAACTATCAAATTTTCAAACGGAGCACCTTAGGTGTCCCGAGTCATTCTATCACATTGAAGTCCAATATCACTTGAACCGGGGTGTTATTTTATCATTGGTTCAAAGACTCAAACTAGCTGGTTTTTGTGAAAAATTAGAGATTTGTTTTGGACTAGTGATTATCACATGATCGATGTAAGTTTGGTATGACCTTTTTTAATATCCCAATTTTTAAAAAAATATATAATCTTACTTTTAATTCTCTAATTTCTTCAATTTCTATATATATACTTCCTCCGCCCCCCTAAGATGTTCTCATTTTGACCTTTTATAGTTTTTAATGAAAGTTAAAAAAGGTATAAAATTTACCAAAATATTCTTAATGAAAATTGGTGAAATATATTAAATGTAGTGTGTGAAGTGTAATAATTAAAATAAGTAAAGATATTCATGATATTTTAAATATTAAAAGGGCTACTGAGAAGATCTATGAAGATAAATAAAAAAGAATAATATAAAGATTTATGGGAGGCGAAGGAAATATTTTTTAGAGGTTCAATTTCTATATTTTGTTAACTAGTATTTTGATGATTCAGAACTTTTTTTTAATGTAATATATTTTCAAGAATCAGGTAAGTATATTTCAAACACGATTTTTAATCAATGGACAACAACGACAAACTAGAAAAATAATATTTGAAGAATTAAAAGTGTACTTGAAAAAATCTTTTTGAATTTCAATTTTTTTGAAGGACTTCAAGATACACAATATTTGTGGTATGATTGTAAGGGTTTTCATTGTCATCTAGAACCAATATTTTTAATCATGTCTTAGTTTTTCACTTATGACATAGTAATATAAAGCTGATCATGAGTAAATACCGAATTGGTTAAAAATAATACAACAAAAGACAATGTTTTAACTTGACTTTTGTTAATAGTCATAGCAAACATAAAACTATTGAGAATTGTATTTTTTAAAATTCTCAAGGGTATGTAACCTTTTTCCCGACTCGATTTCCCAACACCTTAATTACACTTATAATGTTCTTTCGCAGCTCTTCAACGAATAATCTTCTACCATTACACAATCCAGATATTTGGTCAATTTTCTTCAGTAATATAATCGGTACTCCCTTTTTAAAAACTATTTTGTGGTTTGGGATTGTTAAATATATTCTTAGTATATTTAATATTTATGTATATTGGTAGCTACCATAATTGTATAGGGTGCATTTAATATTGTTTCATATTATCATTAGGAAATCTTTGTATATATACACATGTAATCTCCCATAATAATTCATGTGAAAATATTCATTCTTCATGGTATCTACACATGTAATCTCCCATATCACCTTCTTCATGGTATCAGAGCCCTAATTCTCGGCTCCCGTTTTTCTCCCTCTCTCTCTTTCGATCGGCAACCTCTCCCCCTCTACACGCCGATCTGCTTTCTCTCCCCCGGCAGCCATGGCCGATGAAAACTCCTCCTCCGGCAAGGTAATCTCCACCGCCGACACCTCTTCGTCCAACAACTCTCCCCATCTCGCCTTCACCACTATATCCAACATCAAACTCCATATTCCCGTGCAACTAAGTCTTTCAGCACCAAATTACAAAAAGTGGAGCCGTTTGTTTCGTCTCTTGATTCTTCGCTTCAATCTCAAGGGTTTCATCGACGGCACCACGCTTGCCTCCTCTGCGGATGATGCCGAATGGTATCAATTTGATGCCCTAATTCAAGGATGGATCTTGTCCACCATCACGGATGAAGTCTCTGATCTCGTTCTTGCCAACAATCTCTCTGCTCATGCACTATGGAAAGCTATTTACAATCTTTTTCACGACAACAAGCATGCCCGGGCAATGCAACTGGAGCACCGCTTCCGTACAACTGTGAAGGGCCACCTCTCCATCGACGAATATTGTCGCCTTCTCAAGAATCTCTCCGAGTATCTCGACGATGTGGATGCCCCCGTCACCGAGCATGCCCTTGTACTCCAGGTTCTTCAAGGCCTCCCTCACGATATTCGGGGTCAAGTTCAGTTTTTGCAATATCAAAATCTACTCCTGACGTTCTTGGAGGTTCGGTCCGCCTTGCTCCTCGTTGAACAGCAACAAACTGACGCCGTATACGGCGCCGGAGCGCCGTCCACTGCCCTCCTCAGCACCGGCGGCGGCGGCGGACACACGAGCAGCGGACACCGGCAGGACCGAGGCGGCGGCTATGGAGGGTATGGGAGCAGCGGCAGCAGCGGCTTTGGCGGCGGATTTGGTGGTGGCTCCAGCGGACGCGGCAAGAACTCTGGCGGTGGCAGTGGAGGCGGCAACC